TAACATTTTAAAAATACATAGTTTTTACTACTATAAATTTTTTTAACAAATTGATCGACAAAATTTTAAAAATCTTATATAGTGGGCTAATCATATAATACTATACTATGATAGTAAATCATTTGGTATCTAATACCCTAATAAAATATCTATTATTAAAATGCGCTAATTAAATGATCCGATTTTCTATGAATTTCGCCAGTATTTAAATTGTAATAATATCCTTCATTATCATCATCAGAAAAACCACAGAACTCTCCATCATCTTTGTTGTTATTGAAGGAACCCTCATCATCGGAGTTATCATCATCGGAAGATTCCTTATTATCATCTTCATCCTCAGTATCTTTGGTAGATGTATTTACTTCAACTTTTGGTAATTTTAAATCTTGATCATTTTCTGGAGACGAATCGGATGATATACTTACTTTATCTTTTGAATTGAAGGCATAAGATGTGGTTACCTTAGCTAAAATCAAAGAAGCATTAATCTGATCATCACAATTTGTGATGGAAGTCATATGATAACAATTTGGTACCTCCGGTATCCTTTCTGCCAAAATCACATTCTTGATAACACTTTGAATTTGATTAATAGTAAGGCTTGAAATGTCATAAACACTAAAAGTAACCTGCTTAATTTTATCTATTCCTACTCTGCTTTCTCCAAATAACATACAAGTTTCCCAATGTGATGCCAGGTAGATGCTCTAGCATTTCTTTGTATATTTGTGATCTAGCTGTTTTATCTGAAGCCCCAATATCATGGAGAATCTCATCAACTTTATTTTCAAAACTATTTGAATAATAGAGCCAAGATAAGATCATCTCGTATTGCATTCTAGAATAAATAGACTAAGTTTTGCATCATATCTAGAGATGATGGATGTAACACCAAAGGCATCTGTTCCATAGCCTCAAAAGAGATTGCAGAAATGATACTGCTGAGCAATTCTTTTGTTAATTCTTGCTCTACAACCTGACTTTTAGTGAACTCAATGTCATCATCATTATTTTTCTGAGACGTGGTAATGACTGGAATATTTTTTTGCCGATCGTCACATTTTATAACAGAGTTTCTGAATTTTCTGGACTGCTCTGATCATGACCCTTCACAAAAGAAATATCCTGGGAAATTGGGTATGCCTCTTGATTAGCCAATTCATGCAGGAGTTTTTTCTTCCTATTGTGCTGTCTAATCTTATCACTAATCTTTTTCTTATATACCTCATTCAAGAAAGCATCTGTTTCTTTATCTTCTAAGGATGTCTGATCACATTGGTCCATAACAGGTATATTAATAGCTGGCTCTGGTAACCCTTCTGGTATCAGTTCTTCAGATAATGAAATATCCATTTCTATAGATAACTAATCTGCAAGCGAATTAAAGTTAGGCGAGCTGTTATTAGAAGAATTGATTAACTTAGAAACATTATCACTTAGTATCTGCCTCTGCTCCACTTTCGTGATTCTATCTCTAAATTCTGCATTTTCAGACTTGAGTTTAGCTATAACTGTCTTATTTTTCTCTAGTTCTACAATTATAGCATTAAGTTTGCCAATCTCAACTGAATAATGCGATATAGTTTTCTCCAGCTCATCAGTTCTGGCCTTAAGCTCCTGTTTCAGTTTCGTTTTCTCAACCTCATCCTCAGCAACTTTCTTCCTAAGCTCACAAATCTCAGCCAAGAGCTTGGCATTTAATTCCCTTAATGAATTGTTGGATTAAGTGTTTGTCATGATAGATGGTATTTTTATATAAGATATAAAATATTCAATAGTTCGTTAGTATATAAAAGATATGTCATGATATTGGTAACTATTCATTCTGCAATAAAAATTTGCGGGACTGCACGGTCTCGGAAAATTGTCAAGAAAAAATTTTTTTATTAATACATTTTATAGGTTTTTATTTCACATCGACACTTTTGCCAAAAAAAATATCAATATGGTAGATAATATAAAAAATATATTACTCAATTGTGATCTTAAGAATAGCATTAGGAAAACGGTAGACAACTAGTCATTTTTGTTATTTTTTACTGACCAAGTCAGTCACACAATAAAATTGTTGGATTTAATCCAAGTGTAAAACACCAAAAAAATATCATATATGAGTTAATATTAATATTCATCGATAACAATACAATAAATAAATTCACGAAATATATATACAAAAGTAAACGTGATTATGTATATAAAATCGGTCATCAAAGCCAGCTTTATTAAAATAGAAAAATAAAGTATATAAGAACTACAGGATAACTATGGGGATAACTGTGGGATTTTTTGTTATCAATTATTCGAGAATCTTCACTGTAAGATTTTAATTCTCAGATCTAAGCTCTATAACTTTATCTTCATATCTTTTAGAGTAGCGACCCCAGAGATCAATTTTACTATAAAAATTTTTTATTTATGTAACATCAATATTAAAATAAATCTCAAAATACACATGCGAAAGTAAATATATTTATGTATGCGAAATAAGTCACTAGGACCAAGCTTTATTAATACTGTATATAATAAAATACGACAAAATTAATGATTGACAAGGTCATGATAGAATAAAATTCAATGGGTCTGTTTTGGAGAATATCTGTAGCAAGATTACTAACTGAAGGTGAGAGATGTCAGTCAAGATGATGAGGTAATCAGGTGAATCTGCTGTTTCTATTGCTTTATCAGAAAAATCACGATGAGAAGACACCACGATACCGATCGTACCAGAGTTTTTTTCGCAGATTACACCCTTTAGCTCTCGAACAATGGCAGGTTCTATATTATTTATAAGTATAAATAACTCCTTTTAATTAACATCAAATTCAAAACAAACCTATTCTATACATCCAGTTCTTGCACTGGATTACAATCTCGATATCTCTAATCATTACAATTATGTCTGCCCCACCGTCGTTTTTACTCCTATTAATTGACAATAAGTGAGTGAATGTGTTATTGTCATTAACGATTAAAGAACATGCACGCCGGACCGGAATATTCTACGGTTATGTGCTTTCAATAATTAGCATGTATCCTATTCATCATAAATTTCTGACAGAGCATGGGTCATTTCAGGAACATCAAAAACCAAGAGAAGAACGTTCAACAGCCTAAACTGTTGGCCACGAAGTGCTTTCGATTCTCTTGAATATTTACATTGATATAATAGCGTACCTTCAGATACACGATAACTCAACAAACACTTAATGAGAAATTCACCCTGTAAAATAATCGACTTTTTTAAAGCTGCCATTTTTAATACCTCGATGATATCCCACTCGAGGATATTTCCTTGCATCATCATTGAATACGTTATAAGAATGAAAATTACTTCACTTTTGGTCATTTTAAAAAATAAACTTTTGGGAAAAAAATCAGCATTTTGCGTATTTTATATATCAAGATGATAGCTCCTTTTCGCTAGGAACGTTCTGTCGAGAAAATGTGTAAAAATTACTCGAATCATTCACTATAAAAAAAATCATTATTAAGAAACATGCCAAGAACCTATTTTAGAATGTATAGAAAAAAATTTTTAGTCGATATAAATATATTTTTAGTACGTAGCTTGAGACTTACTTTAAATAGAAATTGAATACTCAAACAGCAATCACACTATAAACGCATATAGGCTACGTATAAGGCTTGAAATATAATCTATTGACCGAATTTAGTTTAGGACATTCTGGGGTTCTGCAATAACCAAATAAATTATGCATTCGAATTTTTATGACCTTCCATTTTAAAATTTGTTTAACGTCAACATCTTTTATATGAATTTCAACTAGGGCTACAATAATCACATGAAAATATACTATATATCAATATTACAGAAAAACATTAACTTTATTCTGGAGTAGCAAAGCCATGAATTACAATTTACATGAACTTGTGTGTGGGGCATTTACTAATTTCCCCCCACAGTTGTAATTGGCTGGGATTATTCGTTAAATAAAATGTGACCCCTCAGTTAGGGTTTGGGGTTAGGGTTAGTAGGTGGCATTGTACTAAAATTTTACAAGGAATTTTTTTTGTTAATGCATAAAAGGTGATTTCTTAGGGAAGTTTTGTGATAAGTATGACTTTTCAAAAAAAAAGCGATTGTTGTTTTGATAGTCACGTTACATCTGATCTTGCATCCTGATTGGCCAATATCACAACTGTGGAGAGAAATTAGTAAATGCGTGTGTGGGTAGGGCAAGAAAATCCAAATTCATGAAAAAAAGTAATATAGACTGTCCTCGAGGTAACCCCTGTAGATCACTCACAAAAAAATTTTCCGGCACGTGACTAAGCCACATTAATACTAACGTTCGTACTAATAATTAATACTAGCATTTGTACTAACGTTCGTACTAACGTTAATACTAACGTTTGTACTAACGTTCATACTAACGTTCGTACTAATGTTTGTACTAACGTTAATATTAACGTTCGTACTAACGTTTGTACTAACGTTAATATTAACGTTTGTACTAACGTTAATATTAACGTTCGTACTAACGTTAATATTAACATTCATACTAACGTTAATATTAATGTTTATACTAACGTTAATATTAACATTCGTAATAATGTTCGTACTAAAAAGTCCAATCAAAAAACAATTAGGCCATACAAACTTAATAAATTGGTTCTCATAACCCGGCTGGATCAAATTTTACAAAACTTTAAAAAAAAATTTTAAGTATATTTACTATCCGGGTGGGTTTTCTAAAAAATTTGTAAAAAAATTTTATATGTTTTTTGTATATAAAATTTTTTGAAAATAAAATTAAAAGCCGGGTCACTTTCAAAAATTTTATGTTATGAGAACCGATTTATTAAGTTTGAATGGCCTTATTCTAAAGTTTATTTATTTTTTTGCATTTTTTTTTTTTTTATTATTACAATTTAATTTAATTAAATCTATCTAATTAAATATTTTACAATTTAATTTAATTAAATATCTATCTAATTAAACATTTTACAATTTACAATTTAACAATTTAATTAATGAACGTTAATACTAACGTTACAGTAATATTAACATTGATATTAACATTGATACCAACGTTAATATTAACATTAATATTGTTAATATTAACGTTGGTATTAACGTTGGTATCAACGTTGGTATCAACGTTGGTATTAACGTTGGTATCAACGTTGGTATTAACGTTGGTATCAACGTTGGTATTAACGTTGGTATCAACATTGGTATTAACGTTGGTATCAACGTTAATACCAACGTTGATACCAACGTTGATACCAACGTTGGTACCAATGTTGGTACCAACGTTAATACCAACATTAATACTAACGTTAATACAAACATTTGTATGAACATTAATATGAAGAAAAGCATGGAAAAAAAGATGAAAAAGCAATGAAAAGCACTGAAATGGAGATGAAAAAGTACTGAAAAGGTGATGAAAAAGCTACGAAAAAGCACTGAAAAGCAACAAAAGAACCACCAAAAAAGTGATGAAAAAAGCACTGAGAAAATTACCAAGAAAGCACCGAAAAGCGACTAAAGAAGCACCAAAAAAGCAACAAAAGAAGCATTGAAAAAGCAACAAAAAATGCAACAAAAAAGACACCAAAAAAGTGACAAAAAAAGCATTGAAAAAGCAATAAAGTACTGAAAGAAGCACCAAACAAATGTCAAAAAAAACACTGAAAAATGTTGAAAAAAGCACTGAAAGAATGAGAAAAAGAACAAAACAATATCAAAGAAACAATATAAAAAATATGTAAAAAGCATCAAAAAAAATAATATAAAATATACCGAAAGAGCAATATAAAAAGCACTGCAAAAACAACATAAAAGGCACTGAAAGAATGTCATAAAAGTCACCAAAAGAACTATGCAAAAAGCTGTAAATGAAACACCAAAAGAACAATATAAAAGACATTAAAAAAGCAATAAAAAAAAATTTAAAAAAAACTTAGTTGATCATGTTTAATTAAAATAAAAATAGGAACACAGATTAGCACAACATAATATGGTATAGTCTCGTGCTAAAAAAAATTTTGTAGGTTAGCTACTAAATATCCTTGAGGTTAGGGCTGTGACATATATTACGTAATATCATTTTATCAAGGGGGCTACCCCCCTCCCCCTACGTCATATATGATCATATATAAAATATATTTATATAATTATATATATATAATATCATCTCCAGGTACTCTTTCTTCTAGGATATTACGTAATATCTGTCACTGCCCTTACAGTATCATATAATAATGGTATAGTAATAGCTGATCATTTTGATTTATTTATAATGCTAAATATTATATGAGTGATATTTTTCTTATTTAACTTAAAAATTGTTAATGCTATAAAAGATCTTACTTATACTATTTTATTCTCACCAATAGCATCAAAAAGTTGTAAATTTTTCGTGTTTTTTTTGATTTCTTTCTAAGTGTATTATTACTAATCTCTTTGAAAATTTGATTTCTAACTTTATCATTTACTAGAATTTTGGCAACTTGCTTTTTGTAAGATTTTTTGTAGTATTCTAGATGTTTTGTAAGATTTAATTTAAAATTATAATATCTTTTAATAACTTTTTGATTTAATTTTCTATTAGAATATTCAGCACTAATAAGTTCTTTATATAAGTTAAGAAAATTAACAGGATCATTTTCAGTAGTTGGTATCATTACTAATTGTGTAAAAATATTATTTTTTGCAGAATTCAGATTTTTAATAGATAATTTATTTATTAATTTTTTTAGATTTAAAGGCTCTTTTTTTGCAATTTCTTTACATAATCTTTTTTTAGAATTAGACTCTTTGTTTTTAGTAAGGGGCTTTCAGAAATCAGCTGATTTTGGGGTAGATGGGTGGGTCAGCCAGTGTATCAGGTGTAATTCTGGCCAGAATTATCAAGTTTTGATCAAAATTAAAAAATATTTTTAAGTCAAATTATAAACTTGTTAATAATTAATTATAAACTTTTAATTATTAATAACTTTTGATCTACTAGGCCAATTTGAATGATTTAACTACCAAAATGATTCTCTTATTAAGAGAATTTTAACAAGTCTAAAATCATAAAAATCTAATTAATAGATGCTAAAATATAAATAGTTTTGTATTATTATATAATAATATAATAAAATATATTTATAGTAATTCAAAACTATTTATATCTTAGCATCTAATGATTAAATTTTTATGATTTTAAACTTGTTAGAATCCTCTCATTAAGAGGATTCTAACAAATCTAAAATCATAAAAATCCAATTACTAGATGCTAAGATATAAATAGTTTGGTATTACTATAAATATATTTTATTATATTATTATATAGTAATACAAAATTATTTATATCTAGTAATTAGATTTTTATGATTTTAGACTTGTTAGAATCCTTTTAATGAGAAGATCATTTTGGTAGTTAAATTATTCAAATCGGTCCAGTAGATCAAAAGTTATTCAATATTAAATATAATTTTAATTATACATTTTAATAAACATGAAATCTGATTGGCTAGCAGATGGAGGTAGGGTGGGTTCGAATGATTTATTAGTAAACTCTAATTAGCTAATTTTTGAAAGCCCCTAAGGTTTATATAATTTGAATACAATATTAGATCATTTGATAAGATAGGTTAAAAATAAGAGATATATCAGAAGATATTATATTTTGGCTTTGACTAGATATTATTTATAGTAAAATTTGCATTAGGTCTGAGATATTTTGTGTCTGATCCTGTGAACTAGGTTCAGAAGTACTAGAATAATACGCATAATCAATAAATTCAATTTTTATTGCATATTTAGAGCATTGTGAGAGATCTTTTACATAATTCTCAAACCAACTATGGTGATATATATATTCACAGATAAGTATAGTAAATAGTTTTTTAAATTCATACAAAAAAAGCTCTTCTTTATACTTTGAGCATGGATCTAATTCTAGAACTTCAACACCTTTTGCAATAACCTCCAGGAGTTATTTTTAA